GGTGGCATCAGGTGGCTGGCTCGAGCGGTGCCAGGTGCAGGGTCTGCTGGCTGGGTGCTGGCAGGCTTGCACCTGGCACGGGCACTGTAGCCAGCCCATGCCCCTTTAAGGGGTCCGGGGCCGGGCGGGGGGCAGACGAGTTTCCCTGGTGTTGGCCAGAGTGGCCACCAGGGAAACCTGGGGAGGGCTAGCCTCCCACTAGTTCGAATTAAGGGTCTACACAGCCCTTAATTCGAACTAGTAAATTTGAACTAGACTTAATCCTCGTGGAATGAGGTTTACCTAGTTCAAACTAAGCGCTCCGCTAATTCGAATTAAGTTAGTTCGAATTAATTTTGTAGTGTAGACATACCCTAGTAGACCAGCACCAGAGCCAGCAATAGCACCCAGATCTCCTGAGTTACCAGGCCACTGCTCTCTACCTTAGGCCATATTGCCTCTCAGAAAGTTTTAGTTCGCAAGCCCCAGTGGAGTTCACGGGGTCTCTGGCACTTCTCCATTGTCAGGACCAAAACTCTGCTTGGGATAGAATTTGCATGTTGAATTTGGTTATGAATTTCTTCTCTTTTAGTGCTGTGGGTGTCCTGTGATTGAAGGTTTGAAGAGGTGTCAATATTGTGAGTGCCATTCTCATGGCGGAGAGGCATTTCTGACAGGGAAGTTTTCTGCAGCAGACGGCAGATTTGCTTTCTCTCCTCCAGAAGCTTGCTCCAAGGCCAGTTCCAGCACCTTTTCTGAACACGCAGTTTGCTAGAAATAGAATAATGGGGACACATGTCAGCCCCTGGGGGGGAGGGAGGGGGCAGTGTCTCTCTGAAAACTTAGCCCATTGGATGTAAATATTTACCAACTCTCTTCTGTCCCCTAGGATTACTTTTCTATTATCTTAAGTGAGGCTTCTTGATGCTGAAGCCTTTTAACAAGTATTTCTTCTTTGAGAGGCGCCCTGTAGGTGCTTCACAGCAGGTATCGGTGTGGCGCACCCACAGGGATGCTCATCTCAAACATCAGTTACTGCTAAAGGCGAGTAACCTCCTCTTCCCAGCAAGGAACATGAAAAGCCCACATGCTAGCCTACTATCTTTCTAACAGAACACCTCTTTCCTCTCTCTGAGAAAAGCATGGCCAGCCAATAGCAGCCTGGGTCTTGGCACAGTTAGATATTAGGAGCAAGAGAAGGGTAGGAGTCTGAGTTTGACCTCACTCCCTGAGGCTGCCCAAAAGAGTATGTAATCTAGGCCTCCACCTCAGGACCCTAGGCAGATGCAGGGAAGGGTGTGGATTCAGCCCTAATGCTCTCCTGTCAGCAGCCGACCCCAAGCCCAACTCTCCGCAACCTGTCATCCTGCCAAGCACTGAGTTTAGCCCTATGAAGTGGAAATCCATCCACTTCATGAAAAAAAAAACTCACGCAGCTGCAGACAGACATCTTCTTCCTGAGTCCCACTGTTTCGCCATCTGCACAGCCCTATGGCGTCATTTCAGAGAGAGGGAACATGAGTGAAGAGTGCTAGGGGGAAGCGGGAAAAGAAAAAAAGATAGACCCTCCCATCCCCACACTTTCTCAGTTTCTTTCTCTTCTGATCTGTCTTTGGAGACTATCCAGTCCACAACACTATACACGGTAATAAAACTCCCCTGGCTCACCCGACTGGCTGGACTTAGTGTAACCACCACTACATGGATTTGAACCTGCGACCTATGGAACTGAGTATAGGCACCTCTACCCTCTGAGCAAAAAACCAGTTGGCTCCCAACTGATGCTGTAGAGGACTCTTGGTCTTAACTGTTGCTGTGGTCTAGGTACCATTTGCATTGCTCAGTAACCACACTAGGGCTATGTCTACACTGGCGCGACCTTGTGCCAGAAATATGCAAATGAGGCTAAGCATGGAATATCGCAGCCTCATTTGCATATCTAATGAGCTGCCATTTTTGCAGAAGAGGCTCTTGCGCCAGAAGGAGCTGTCTACATTGCGAAAAACCCTCTTGCGCAATGCTGTTACGCTGATTATTGTGTCCGTTTCTAGCACAGCAGAATGCATATATAAGGGAAAGTGTCCTTTGTTGTCTGAATATTATTAAGTTATGATAACACCAAGGGGAAAGCTTTCTAGCTGCATTCAGCACAAGCGAAGGGGATTTCTGAACATTATAGTCTCTCATGAACGGTGGCAGACCAGAGAGCTCAATCTCTTATTCTGAAGTCAGTGGCTTTGGCTTTTAGTATAATTTCCGTCTGATCAGAAAAATAAATAAAAATGACACCAGCGCCTTGTAGGCATTTTAGGATTAAGTGAACAATTGACCGAAAGTCCAAAGAGTTCAGGTTATTAATGTAGACAACTTCACAGGCTTTCAAAGTTTCCAGCTTTATGTGACTCCGATGTAAGCAGGTTTTTCAGAGACTTCCTCGACAAGTAGTGATGCCCTGGGAGCTGGAGCGGGCTGTATTTGCACAGACACACAGACTTGCCAAATTGATCATTTTGACCTGGCTGGGGGTTTCAATTCACTGTAGTATTGAATGCAGGGCTAATGAAGTGTTGTTATCCTTACTGAACGAGTGAAGGGTGGCAGGACTGTTCTGGGGAGAAAGTGTTGCTGCAAAAGACAAGAAAGAGGCAGCTGCACAGATATTCCACTCAGGGAAATTGTTAAGAGCCGGGCTTAGTGGGAGAACCTCAGAAGATGGCGTTGCAGAAGTGATTGTGAGCGGCCGGGGAAAGTGGCAGAGATATCAGTGGCAGCAGAGATAAGAGCAGCAGCATTAATGAGCCAGCTGTAGAGGTGGAAGTGGAGCATGTTCATGGAAGTGAGGCCAGATAGACATGAGCCTGCTACAGCCCTGGCTAAGAGAGAGGTTTCTTTTTGCTGGTGTTAGAGGCATTGCTCAATGCCCCATTCCCCTGTTTTTAGGAGTGGCAGGGGGTGGACTCAAGTGAATGCAGGTCTGACTTCTGGGTCTTTGCTAAGCACAGCTAACTCTGGGTGGGGTGCAGTGAAGGGAAAGGAGAGAGGCATGTTAAATGGACACTTGTTTGTTGGACTTCCATACCACAATGTGGAAGTTTGAGCAAAGGACACTGCCCCACGTACCATGGATGGGTGTTTGCGTATGGTGACATGATTTTGAATTGTATTTGAGGTGGTTTCCCTTTTAGTTAAAGGTTTCTTTGGTTATACACAGCTTCAGTGCAGAGTTAGGTTGATGCAAGGCAGCGTATGTTGACCTAACTCTGGGTATGTCTACACTACCACCCTAGTTCGAACTAGAGTGGTTAATGTAGGCAATCGAAGTTGCAAATGAAGCCCGGGATTTAAATATCCCGGGCTTCATTTGCATCTTGCCGGGCGCCGCCATTTTTAAAGCCCCGGTAGTTCGGACTCCGCGCCCGCGGCTACACGCGGCACGGACTAGGTAGTTCGGATTAGGATCTCTAATCCAAACTACCGGTACACCTCGTTCCATGGGATGTTTAAATCCCGGGCTTCATTTGCAACTTCGGTTGCTTACATTAACCACCCGAGTTCGAACTAGGGTGGTAGTGTAGACATACCTTATGGAAGTATCTACACTTAAATTTTGTTCCCATTGTCCTGACTGCAGGGGCGGATATAGGGCAGGGCGAAGGGGGCGGCCGCCCCGGGCCCCGCGCTTCAGAAAGCCCCGCGCATGCGCCGTGGCAAAGGGGGGGCCCCGCGGAATTATGCTGCCCGGGGCCCCGCAAAACGGTCATCTGCCCCTGCCTGACTGCCCTGCTGCTCTGACTTAATAACTCCAACTCCATGAGCGGTATAGAGCCAACGTTGGTATAGTTAGGATGATGCAGTGTCAGTGCAGACCCTGCATTGCTTATGTCGACTGTCACCAGCTTTCAGCAGCCACAACAATAGTGCACTCTATACCCGTGCTGCTGGTACGGATGTGCAGTGCTGGTACAAGGAGCAAAGTGCACATACATACAAGTGATGTAATTACTGCGGCAGCTGTAGGCTGATGTAAGTTAGGTTCACGTAATTCCTCTAGTGTCGACATGGCCTCAGAGGCATCCAAAGTGGTCTTTAGTTTTCCCAGATTAGTGAGTGGAGGCTTGAGTTAGTTCTGTTTTCATGGTTAAGAAGAATTCTGAGGTACTGAATTTAGCCCCTGTTACTGCTGACTCCTCCTCGCAGAGGTTAAATGTGCACATAACATTGGAAAGTACCTGCTGATGGCTCAGAAGAGCTTAGCTCAGTGCCTACTGCCTCAATAAAGGGAGCGGCTTCTCTTTAGAATGAAGGTTATCAACTCTCCACCCTGAACCCTAGCTGTGGCAATGCACTGGAGAGACACCTGCAGTGACCTCAAGATCGGTACCTGACTGGGAAGTCTGTCTTTATTTGTAAAGTGAGATGGGCTACCCATCAGTAGACACAATGACTAGCTGAATCAGATGAGCGCTATCTAAAGGAGGAGAATATAGCAGAAAAAAGTTAATGGACTAGTAAACTTTTCAATGTTACGTAACATAACCAACCTCCCCAACCCCATCCCAATCGGCTCTTGCCGAAGCGGCTTTTGCGATGTAAGTTTGGTGGTCACAGTGCAGTGGGCAGATGTCAACGTCTCATAAAATTGCCACCCGAATTGGCAACTAGACTAGGGAGACTGGGAGGGATGCGGGTTTGTGGAGACTAATGTTCACTTTTCTAGAAGAGGCCCTCTAACTCAGGGTTGATGTGCCTGGACAATGTGTGGTAGAAGCTTGCGTTGCCACAGCTCTTGTTGTAAAGAGCCTGCTCTGCCCTCTTGCTCTAATGCCTGGCCATCACACTATATCAATGTTCACAACAAACAATCTTGACTGCATATGCTTCATGTATTCTCCTCCCCACAGGGCATCTGCTACTCCAGATTGGAATCTCATCATTTGCAAATTATAATGACGTGGATGTACAGGTCATAATTGGGGACACTGTGGCCCAGATCCAAGCACAAACAATTGATGGTGTCGATGTCATACTGCCTGCCCTGGCAGAAGGATGGTACAACATTTCTGTCATCATCAATGGCATTGTAATCGGCTCACGTGGGTGAGTGAATGTGCCCATTCCTTGAGGATGTGAATTTCATTAGCTTCATTCTATGTGGAATTTTTGGGTTAATGGAAAAGCAACGGAAACTCCGGCTTAGTGTCAGGGCCAGCTTGCTAACACAGAGGGTATGTCTAAACTACATAGCTCAGTTGACGGAGCCATGTAGATTTGTTTGTTCGGCAAAGGGAAATGAAGCTGCAATTTAAATAATCGCAGCTTCATTTAAATTTAAATGGCTGCCCCGCTCTGCTGATCAGATGTTTGTCGGCAGATCGGGGCAGTCTGGACGCTCCCCTACCGACATGAAAGGCCTTTATCGACTTCCCCGGTAAACCTCATTCTATGAGTCATAACGGGGAGGTCGATAAAGGGCTTTCAGGTCGGTGCGGGAGCGTCTAGACTAGTGCGCTGAGCCGACAAACAGCTAATCAGCTGTTTGTTGGCTCAGCGTGGCAGCCATTTAAATTTAAATGAAGCCGTGATTATTTAAATCGCGGCTTCATTTCCCTTTGCCGATCAGCCTAATCTACATGGCTCCATCGATGGAGCCATGCAGATTAGAAACACCCAGAGATCGGACTGTATGCTTTAAAGCTGATTAGCAATTACTGTGACCCTGTTTCACCAGTGAAACCCTTGTGTGCTTCAGTCCCTCTGCAACTAGTAGCGCTTAGTGCGAACACTACTGAAGTAGTGCAATCTGCCCCTTGAGAAGGGAGCTCTTCACGTTGCTCATCCATGACCAGGATCCAGCTAGTTAAGCACCTGGGCTCCAAGAGGAGTGAGTCTTTGGGGGCTGGAATGATAGTAACATCTAAGAGGGCACCTAGGAGGTGGCATGGAACCAAGTAGGAGTTGTAGGAAGGCTCTTCAGGGGTCCAGCCGGGAAAGAAAAGGAGAGAAAAGCGTGTGGAACACAAAGGAAAAGTAAAGGACTGATCCTTGTGTTTGTGTTTTGCAGAGTTGATCTATTCATCCAGTACGTCACTGAGGTCGTCAGTATAGAACCCTGCTGTGGGTCCGTTCTGGGTAAATACAGTGCTTATCATTTGTCACGAAACAGGTGCTGAGGCTCATGACATTTTTTTACATTTGGAAGTGATGTGGAACGCTCTGAAGTGCCGGGGCTATGAACTACCATGTCTAGGGGTGCTGGGGCTTAGCCCTGGTGCAAATTCAGCATTGGGTAAATAGCATCAGCAAATCTGTCATCACTTCTGAAGGCCATAAAGGGCACATCTCCCCTATGTGATTAGGAAGAATGGCCAATTTCACGTCAGTTGAGTCAGAGGTGGGGAACCTAAGGTGTCTGTCCCGCCCAGCTTGCCTAGAACCTGTCCCCCGAGGTTTAGGTCTCCCCCCTGCAACAGGGGCCCCAGTCTTGCAGGGCTAAAGCACCAGCACCATCAAGGAGCCCTGAGCCTCATGACCCAGAGTCGGGCAAATCAGGAGCTGGATCCTGACCCATGGACTCTGCCCCGGCAGAGAGGAAGCAGCTCTGTATGCTGCCGCACACCCTCCCCCTTGTTGGGAAAATGGCAGCACAGCAAAGCACTGCCTGGAGGCTTTCCCCCGCTGCTCTGATTGGCTGTAATTGTGGCCAATAGGAGCAGCAGGTGGCGGTACCTAAGAGCAGTGGGAGCCATGGAGCCATGTGTGTCCATGGGAGATGTGTCAGGTAAGTCCCCCCTCCTTCCCAGATGTTCCTGCAACTCCCCTCCTACCTTCATGCCACTCATGCACCCTACCACCCTCCCAGACCCCACTCCTCTTTCCAGCAGTCCCCTCCCACACACTGAACTCCTCATTTTTGGGCCCCACCCCACAGCCTGGGGGCCCACAAAATCTACTAGCTCAGCCCCCCTGCCTCTGAGGCTCTGAAGTGCGAGGGGAATGTGTGTGAGGGGTGTCTTTCTGCTTCAGTCAGGGGCTATGTCATCGAGATAGGGTTTTTTTGGCTTCTCACTTTTGTGCAGCCCGCTTGTCTTTCTGTGGGGCAGCAGCCCTCAGCCCAGAACAGGTTCCCCACCCCAGTAGCGATGATGGCATTTGCAAATGTGTGAACCCTTGTTCTGTAGACTTGTCTTGACAGGCAGCAGCCACCTACTTGCCTGGGACTGTGGGCGAGTGTGAGCACATAGAGTAGCCTGGCTAGTACTAAACCACATCAGGTTGGCCACAGGGAGATGACCAGGTCTCCCATCCTTTGAATTTGTTTCCCCTGAGGAATGAACCAGACGAACAAAAATCCACTCACACCCGAATCACTAGCTTGTTCTGTCCTCAGATCCCAGTGCTGAACATTCAATATCTTTGACGGACAGGAGGTGTCCCACTAGGACTCAAGTAGACCATAAAGCTTTGCTGGAATAGAGCCCAAGTGGAGTGTCCCTGTTGCTGTGTAGCACATACAAAGACAATGCACATTATAAGCTGCAGAAAATTAACGTCCAGATTTTACTCTGTCTTACACCAGTGTAAATCCACCGTATCCCCACTGAACTCACAGGACGTGCACCAGTGTCAATCTAGTGTCAGGAAAAGGTGAATCTGATCATAAAGGAGGCTGGCAGGGATTCACCGTTTTGTCTTTGAAGTGTAGGACTGGGGGCTAGAAACCGACATATTCTAATTTCAGCTGTGCTACGGATTGCATTAGCCAAATCACTTCACCCCTCCGCTGGCCATAATCATAAAGGGGCTTTGTGCTAGTTCATTAGTTCACATGTCAAATATTATTATTCAGCTTTGAAAGCTGATGCCAGCTTTGATACAGCAAAGCCCATCCGACTGGAAGGGTAAGTAATTAAAAACCATGGATTGTCGAAGAATTCTCCTTTTAGAAGGAAATTCAAGGTGTAGGAAAAATGTGATTGTAGGAAGGTGTAGGAAAGGTGTAGGAAAAATGTGATGTTCAGCTCCAGCAGTGTGCCAGGTACTTGACAGACAAATTGGAGAAAGGGCCTTTACCCCAAAGCGTGAGCATAAGAACAACCAGACTGGGTCAGACCAAAGGTCTATCTAGCCCAGTATCCTGTCTGCTGACAGTGGCCAATACCAGATGTCCCAGAGGGAGTGAACACAACAGGTAATCATCACATGATCCCTTTCCTGTTATCCATTTACAGACAAACAGGGTATGTCTACACTGCATTCCTCCTTTGAGAGAGGAATGCAAATGCAGCTGAGCAAAATTGCAAATGAAGTGTGGATTTGAACTTCCCGTGCTTCATTTGCATAATCGTGGCCGGCTGCTTTTTCAAAATACCCTATTTTGAGATGGTAAATGCTGTGTAGACGCGGTTATTTTGAGAAAAAACCCTTCTTACGAAATTACCCTTAAACCTGTTAATGGAGTGTTAATGGAGCAGTAGCATATGACATAGGGAGAGCCTTCTTGCTGACATGTTTTCCAAAGAGTTTATTGTGTTTTTAGTGGGACAGAGGAAAGCAGGTCTGAGTTATAGGGGCTGAAAGGCTGTGCTCACCCCACTGCATGTTCAGATTTTCTTAACCCTCCTCCTAGCAGACAAAGGTTGAGCTTTGGTGATATCTGCCCTGCAGTTGGCTATTTCTCCACTACGTGGTGCTATATCACAACCTCATGTGCAAGTCAGTTCCTGTCGCTCTGCACAAGGAGGAGGGCACTTGGGTGTATATGACACTGCTTCCTACATGGAGCCCTACATAGCTGGAATGCAGCTGCCAGAGTAAAGTGGCCACTTTTGGAGAACCCCATGCATGGCCAGCCTGTTTTTAGCACACAGGGATTGCAGCTGGCCTGAGCATTTTTCAAACCCTCACTGCTCTCCCTATCTGCAGTGTTACACACTGGGGTGCAGTGATGGGGGAGAGCTCGTGGTAGGAAGCAGTGTCATCTCAACCCAAGCTCCCTAAGTGGTGATCAGTTGCCAATGAACCTTGCTTTAAGTGCAGAAAAGATTGAGACAATGCAGCTATAGAAATCTTAAGTGAGGTTCTATGATTAGAATTCATTCTGATCCCCGGGCGCTAACCATTTGGTTTTATCTGTACCCCCAGGTGGAACAACCCTCACGATCTCTGGGAAAGGCTTTAGCCAAAACCCTTCCCTGATTGCAGTCTTGATAGGCACCGAAACCTGTCATGTTATCCGCTTAATGGAAGAGACAATATTGTGCCAGAGCCAGGCTGCTAAATTCTTGAATGGAGAGTCCCAGGACATCTCTGCACACGTGGAAGTGTTAATTGGCAATAGATCTTCACTGCTTCCCTCCTGGACCTTTCCAAAGAAGAATGTCACCTTTACTTATCAGATGGCTTTGACTCCAGTGGTTACCTCCGTGGAAGCAGAAATGACAGACAACAGCCTGCGTCTGGCCATAGGTGGAATAAATGCAACGGGTGCAGTTGCTGAACTTGGAGACTCTGAATGTGAGCTGGAGTTTCAATACGCCAATGGATCTACAGTCCTTTCTCAGTGCTCTTTCCCATGGAGCACTCTGGAACCTGGGATCTATCCCATCAGGGTTCTCCAGAAGCAAGTGGGCTATGCCAATGTGACAGCAGCCCTGCGGAACTTGACATTAGCCCCACAGGTAAAGGCCATAAGTCCATCACATGGCTCAGCTTGTGGTGGTCTGTTGCTCACCATATCCGGCCTTGCTCTGAAATCTGGGAGGAATTCGGTTCACGTGAGCCTGACGGGGAACTATACTTGTGAGGTCCATAGTGTGGCTTACAACCTTATCAGCTGTGCTTTTCTTCCAAGGGGACCTCCTCTGGGTGACTGGTGGCTTCCTGACGCATCTCAAGCCCTTAACATTACCGTGACTGTAAACGGAATCCCCAGCATCTGCATAGGAGACTGCACACTCCACCTTCTCGAACAGGGGACCCCACGAGTCGATGCTGTGGACTGGGAGATCAATGGGACGCTGGTGTCTCTGTTGATCAGAGGCCAGAGATTAGCTTTGGCAACTGACGAGCTTGTGATTCTAGTGGATAATCATGCCCCTTGTAATGTAACTTTCTGGAAGGAGACCAGCCTACAGTGCCAGACAGACAGCCTTTCCCCAGGGGAGCACAGCCTTTCTGTGTCCAACAGGAGAAGTGGGCATGCTTGCTTCAGCAGGGGCTCGCATATCTTCACCATCATGCCTTGTGTGCTCAAATTTTACCCCCACAATTTCAGTATCAACGGTGGAGGCCTTCTTACCATACAAGGGACAGCACTGCAAGGAAGGAGCAACACTTCTGTTCTTGTTGGGAACCAGCCCTGCCTCATTACAGATGCCAGCTATGTGGTTCTCCGGTGCATCGTCCCTTTTGGCAATGGTGCCCAGGTGTTAGCTCTAGGAATAGATGGCATCTCTTACCAGCTGGGTGAAATAAGCTACAGTGAAGAGTTCACCCCTGTTTTCCTTTTCCTTCCATCTCCGGTGGGTCTGCTTTTAACAGTGACTGTGTCACGGATCACAGGGGTGGAGAACATGCATATTACCATTGGGGATTCCCCCTGCACCAGTATCACTGGCAATCGCACCACTTTGCAGTGCTTAGCTCCCCGGCTTCCTGCTGGAGAATACCAAGTCCTCGGAGGCGACTTCCTTCGGGGCAGGGCTTCATCAAACTTGACGTTCAGCTCTCAGCTTGCTGTCACGTCCACACACTATAACTGGGGTAAGCACAGGAGGGGCTGTGGATGGTTGTCTCCGGGTAACAGCCGTGACAGAGATGTCACAGTTTGTATGTGGCGTTCGTGAGAGAAAATCACTAGTAATTCTCTCCTTCCCAGGCACGCCCACACTCTAGAATGTCAAGGGAAGTGACTATGGCCTCATTTGTTTATTCTATAGATTGTTATGAGGTTGCATCTCCTGGCTGGGATTCTGGGATCTGTCAGCTGCTTATATGCTAAATTCTCTTGTTTCAGGAGTTCATAATGTGATCACTTATTTTATCTGACTTCCCTAACGTAAAACTCAGTATACAATAGAAGAAGGACAATGGTAAGCAATCAGAGACAGTGTTGAGGGGCACAAGCATAAAATTTGAACACACACAGATCTAGCTATGTATTTCTGCATGGATTGAATCCTGCAGAGTCTTGTAAAAAGCTTTTATTAGCAAGCAGTGATATCCCCCAGGTTACTCACGCAAGATGACGCCACAATTTGTTCATATGTCACAGCAAAGCGCTGACTAAACCTTTATATCACATCTCTGCCCAGACAAAGTGCATTACAGAAAAAAATATCAAGCTATTGGAGATTTAAAAAAAAGAAGATGTTTTGGGATGGAAAAAGTGATTCCAACTGTGCAAATCTAGTTCTAGCAGTCAGGGCTATGGTGGGTCAGACACCTCCTGTTGAAACATTTGGGGAATGTCTAGACTACATCTGCCGACAGAGGGATGCAGATTAGGCAGGTCGACATTGCAAATGAGGCAGGGACTTAAATATCCCGCTCATAATTTGCATAAACATGGCCACTGGGTTTTGCCAACTCAGCACTTTGCCGGCAAAAAGTGGCAGTCTACAGCGGGATCTGTCGAGAAAGAAAGACTTTTTCGACAGATCCCTTATGCCTCCTGCAAGGAGGTTTACAGGATATGTCTAAAAAGGCTTTCTTTCTCGACAGATCCGCCTCTAGACTGCCGCTTTTTGTAGACAAAACCCGGCGGCCATTTTTATGCAAATTAGGCACGGGATATTTAAATCCCTGCCTCATTTGCAATGTCAACTGGCCTAATCTGCATCCCTCTGCTGACAGAGGGATGCAATCTAGACATACCCTTGTTGTCAGTAAATGCCAGTTCATCAAAACCAAAACCTATTCGTGGGAATGAGTTGTTTTTGACAAATCTCCCAGTTTGACAAAAAAGTGTGTAATTTGCCAGAATATCCTATCCTGATATCTTTATATGTCTCATTTTGAAATTTTAGTTAATTTATACAAAAAAAGAGTAATTATTTTTAAAAGATAAAAGTAAAAATGAAGCACTTTGGCCCAATTAAAAAACTTTAGGATTATAGATTTGAAAAAAAAAAAAAAAAACCCAACCACTCCCCCAACCCAAATCCATACTTTGAGATCTTGATGATTCATCCTGAGTTGAGACGTGACATTTTTTTTGAAACTTGAAAATTTCTCGCAGGCTGGGAAAACCGTTCATCCAACCCAGAGTTACACAGGCAACTCTTCGTTAACAACTAGCCATGAAGCTCTGTTTTAAATTTCTTTAGCTTGATCCCTGTGGGTGATGAATGCCTTGCTATCTTCATGGTCTGATGCATTAAACTATGGATCAATTTACTCTCAGCTCCCTGTTGGGTGTGTATTTCATTCCCTAAGGTACATGGAGGAACCGGAAGTTAAATTCCTTTTACTCTTCCCTTCCTAGGTGGCCTGGGTGGAGGGGCAATGCAGGTGCATGGCACTGGGTTTGCTCCAGGAAACACCTCTGTGACCGTCTGTGGCGCTCCCTGTGAAGTGCTGGGTGACATGACGACGACTGATGTGAGCTGCCTTGCCCCACTCTTGGACGGTCAGTTGAAATGTTGGGCTGGATAAAATCTATCCCAATCTCAAACCATATGTCCTGGATTCCCACTGCAACAAATCCCAGTGTGAATGAAGAGCGGCCATGGAGAAGGGAATGGGGCCAACATGGCACTAGCTGCTGCATCCTGACCTTCATCCAAAATCCCAATGACCTCAACAGGGAGTCTTTCTGCCGATGTCAGTGGGCTTGGATCAGGGTCTTGCTGGGCCCCTGGGTGGAAAGGCCACACGGTCACTGCGTTGTGGGAGATGTGATAAGAGATAGTACAGAGCTGGAGACAGCCTTTATCTACAGCATCATTCCCATGGGAAGACTCCAGCAGAAGCACTTATATCTTCTCTGCACCTCTCCTCGCTCAATGGCAGGAGGTATGGAATGGGGTGGGAGGAGGCTATGACGTGCATGCCTGCAGGGTGTTATTGGCATTACAGTAGCATCTACAGGCCAGGACCCCACTGAGGTGAGCAGCAAAGAAACATTCCTTGCCCCAAAAGGCTTACAATGTACTCTAAGGATAGCCCAACGAGTAGCTTGGAGGGGCTAGGTGAGAACATGAAGGGCATGTCTACACTAAGAATTGATTTCACAGTAACCAAAATCAATTTAACAACTTCCTAAATAGCAGCATTGAAATGGTGTGTCCCCACTACAGGGACGCCACAAATTAGCCCGAGGCAGTCTCCCATATTGTGGACATGCTACCTCGACTTAGAGCCCCAGGAAGCACTGGGGAGTAATTACTCTGAATTACTCTGGGAAGTCGTTATTTTGAAATATCAGCAGTGGAATGTCCACACTACTGCTATTTTGAAATACCTATTTCAAAATAAGCGTTATTCCCCAAGGAAAGCAGGAGCACAGATTTTGAAATAACCAGCCTGTTATTTTGAAATAACGGGGTTGGTAGTGTGGACGTTCCGCTTGACCTCCCTGTGGTCCAGAGGCCATGGCCTGTAAATGCCTCCCAACCCATGAGGTGGTGCTATGAAAGTATGTGACAGAGCCAACTTTTGGATTTTCCGCTAGTCGTTTGGCCTTGTCCTCTCGGTATCTCAGGAAACAAGCAATCTCAGGAAACAAAACAAAGCGGCGTGTGTTTGTGTTTGTGTCTGGGTGGGGGTGAACCTGAGCTACTCCAGCTTTTTAAACTGGATTTGAGACCTGTTTTAGGAGCTGTTTTTTAAGCTCTATCCTGGGAACTGGGATACCGTATGTTAAAAGACTCTATGCTTGAACACGGGGATGAGGGAAAGGGAAAACTGGTTATTCAAGGAAAAGCAATAGAATAAAATACAATAAAAATGACTGAGTCTATGAAACCATGAAAAACCGTGTTTCTGAATTGATTGTGCTTTGGCCCCTGGATGAGGTGGAATGTGCGTGTCCAGACAATACTTCAAAAGGACACTAGATGTCAGCAAGCGATTGCTGATTGACGGTAGCAAAAAGTTTTTGAGTTGTTTAATCTGGGAAACTGAGCTGGGTAGGTTGCACTCCCCCCTAAACAGACAAATAAGACCTTCTTTTGTTTATTGTTCATGGCTCTTGTTGAATTAAAATATTTCTCTCCCATTCTACTAAATATGCAGTTTTCTCCCTGTCTTTCTCGCCTACCAGTGTATGTATCTTCTATACACACAAAAAGGAAAATTTTTTTATTTTTTTTTGGTCAAGCAAATCAAACACAAACTCTAGTGTAGAGGCAAGTAGATACTGCAAAGCTGGGTTAGGCACATAAATCTCTCTCTCTCTCTCTCTCTCTCTCTATATATATATATATATATTAGAAATGTGCATCTGTCTGTCTGTCTGTGAGTCTGTTTGTTCAAGAACTCCTAAACAGTAAGGCTACATCTAGATTGCATCCCTTTTTCGCAATTGCTAATGAAACAGGGATTTAAATCTCCCCCGCTTCATTAGCATAAAAATGGCTGCCAATTTTTTTCGGCACGGAGCTTTGCCGGAAAAAAGCGCCAGTCTACACACGGATCTTTCGGAAAATAAAGCCTTTTCTGAAAGATCCCTTATCCCTCTTAAAATAATTGCTTCATTAGCAATTGCGATACGTCTAATTTGCATCCCTTTTACGAAAAAGGGATGCAATCGAGAGGTAGCCTAAGAGCTAGGACTTCCAAGTGTGGTATGCTGCTTCTTCCTGTCATAACTTAAAGCAAGGTCAGGGTTTGTTTGTGCCAGGACAATGGGATGTGACTGGAATTCAATTTTCTCATAAAATGGAAAGGGAGGGGTCTGGGACAGTTGGGGGCAGCAAGTGGCCAGAGATGGGGATCAGGACAGCTATAACTCCATTGGACCAGCAGGCATTAGGGGTGGAGAAAGGGACAGCTATCTATTCTATTTTTCAGAGAGTTTGCTTCTGTTTCCTTCAGCTAGGGGACATTCACCCCTATCCAGGCTGTGCCCGCTGCAATAGCCACAGACAGGTGCTTTGCACCTGGCTCCAATCTCCTGTGGTGAGAGAGGGCAGAGGTAGTCCTCTGTCCTTGGGGCAGCCTGCATACTCAACTCCTCACCCAGTTTTCCCCAAGCATAACAGCAGCAGGCAGAACCAAACCGGGGACCTTTGGAACTTATTCATGAGCATCTACTGCTTGAGCTAAAAGCCAGCTGGCTCTCAACTAAGGCTGTAGAGCAGACTCATTCTCTTTCTCTGTAAGTGGTCTAAGTGCCACTATTTGAGAAAGGACATCACACCCAGAAGGTATGCGGGTTACCTCATAACACATAATGGAAACAACCATCTATCTAAGGTTTTGGTGCAAACTGCACTTGGGATTTTTGCCTTCAAATTCTGGGCATTTTGTCCCCAAAACTCTACTGGAGAAATAAGAGGATGTTCAGAGAAAAGCAGAAAAAATGTGGAGTTTATATTGGGTTAGATTAAAAGAGGGAAATAGGTATAGTTTGGCTGAGTGGTAATGGGGGAGGAACACAGAATTTGTTTGTTTTCTGTGAAGGGTTTAAAACAGAGATGCAAGTGAATGATTTAGGATAGCCCAAGAAGGGAGTATAAATAGGGAGAATAGGGAGACCTTGTCAGACTTAGCAGGTAGTTTGAGGTAAAATGATGTAGCCATTTAATTTAAGTAGTATCAAGGAGTTCAAGTTCTGCTCTTTTTCAGGTGGGGTTCTCTGGCCCATGCAGTAAAGGAGGTCACACTAGATGAAGAGAATGACCCGCTGATCTATAAAAGAAACTAAAAGTGGAAAAAATGTGGACTGAATATTAGGGAAAAATGTGGATACTGAGATCTAAATTGTGGAATAGATGGTGAAAAAAATTGGCTCTGGGGAACAATTCTTTGTTGACAGAAGCTGGCCTTGATAACCCTCACCCATCTCTCTTACTAATCTCTATCTTGTCCATGCAGCGTTTGTTAAATTTATGCTCTGCAGTCTGTTCTGTATGTAGCGGTGCAATGAGCGGTGCAATGAGCACATTTGGCCTGGGGCAAGGTTCCCTCTAACCTGCATGCCTGTGTGCTCACGCAGCAGTTTTCCAAGCTCCGCTCAGAAGTTCAAAGCTTCCACACAGGTAGAGAGCTCAGCTGATTGGCGAGGGGAGGGGCATCTCACTGAGCAAGCAACTAAACAGAGTTAGCTGCCTGTTTAAACTGAGGAGCTCCCAGAGCTGGTAAAAAGGGTAATAAGGAGACAATTAGTGGCTGGGAGGATGGGGAGTGAGTAAGTAAGTAATTGGCTGATGAGTCTGTGTGGAGGGGAGTTTAGAGTGTCCTTCTGCAGGAGAAGAGAGCGGCAGAAACTCAGCACTCTCAAGCCTCTTGGGAAGGGGGAGATAAGGGGTGAGTGCATAGGGTATGTGGGGGGAAGAGTGGGAGGGTGGGTGCTGGTGTCTATTCAGTGAAGTGGAGGCAAGGGGCAGTTGTTTGGGGTGTCTAACTCACTGCAGTCCTCTGTCTGACTGGGTTGGGGCTGTTGGGGAGAGCAGGCTTCAAGGGAAGTATGCGTGTGCCAGGACATTTGCAAGATTGCATTTCAAACAAAGTTTGCATAGGTGTTAATGGCTTAAGATAAGAAAGAAAAATATTCTTTTAACAATGTTTTTGGAGTGTTGCAGATATCGAAAGCACTGAACTTAATGACTTTTTAAAAATCTGTTGTACTAATGAATACATGGTATATTGTATTGCATTAAGACCAGATCTCTGCTATTTGGTAGATTTTTGGCTCTTCTGAGTCAGAAATCGCAAGTACTAGCTTGAGCTGTTAGAAAGGATGATACATGTATTCTCCAAGGGGTGTGTTAATTTTCTTTATTTGATTTCATGTTAGATATCGTATGCATTGCTCCTTGTTAAATATCCCTTGTTTTAATATATTTTCTTCCACACATTGGGACTGCTTACAATTATGTGTGTGTTTTGTTTATATTGGGGGTGGGGGTGTCCATTCACACACACACACACTACCTCAGTATTGGGAGTGTATATAAGAAATTTCAACCTGCCCAAAAGAAAATTCAACCCACCCAAGGATAGGAAACATTAGAGTAAACTCTGGCCTGGGGCTGTTTCAGCAGCTATGGGCTAGGTCTGCATCTGCCCTTTGAACTTCTTTAGGTTTTGGAATTGTCTGTCTTACAGTATGTGTAACTACTATTGGCCCAACACAAAGCCCTTCATCAGAATAGCTCCAAATTCTGTTCCTAAACTCTGATGGTTAGGTCCACCACTGCTTGTAATCTGCTGTGATACAGGAAAAGTAGACAGGGATGTTTTCAGTGGAAAGGATCTTCTATCTCAGAATAATATTTAAAATGAAATGAAACTCATATGCCATGACTGGAAAAATATTGGAATGGGTGGAATCGTGCACTTTTGTACGTGAGCTTGGTCTAAGGTACTTCTTGGTAAGGGATCCTGGGTCTTGAATCTGTGATGATGGGTCTCCAAGAAGTCCTTGGACCGCAGCCTCAACTCAGCACCTCCCAGGCACCAGCA